CGAAAGTAAAATCAACAAATAAAGTAAAAATGAAAGTAAAATAAATACTGATTACACAGAAGAAGAAGAAATGCAAATGCAGGAAATAATTATTACAAATAAATAATGCGAATCTAAGTTTGTAGAGAAAAGACAGACATTGCCTGAGGAGAAGTACAAGTTAACAAGAGTGCTTTGAAATACTTTTTAAATGCTATTTTAGAAAATCTGTGTTCATACAGACATTTGATGGTTCATTCAGTAATGTAGTGCTTATTTAAAAGGTTTGCATAAGTTTAAAAAGACAAAAAACAAACAAATACGAAAAAGGAATAAACTGTTGCTTGTTTTGTCTGATTGCTGTCAAATTAAGACTGTGCTCATAATAGTTTTATGTACAAAATAATTTAAATTATGTAGAGATTAACAAAGTAGAAAATGAAAGAATCCACCTACTGGTAAAAAAAAAACAAAAAAAAAAACATTTAGGTTGTGTAAATTTTAAATGATGTGTAAACAAATACCTCAAACTTTTATCTTTTCCATAAGCAAATACAGAAATTTAATAAGTAATCTAAAAATAAAAAAGTTAATCATAAATTTCGCTCACCTATCTTTAAAATCCATCTGACTTTTATTAGGGAAGCATATAATAAAGTGCAAAATGACTTCTTAATAGGCAAGGTGATGAACATTTCCGTCAGTTGGTCGGCCTTAATGAAAATCTGATTTAGTGTCATACACACCACACACCAGTCATCTTCATAAAAAAACAAGATCCAACATAAGACATTCAGTATTGCACAGCTCCACACAAAAGTGAACAAGCACTGTAGATCACTGCTTCTGATTAGCAGTTTAATCAGTCTGAATGGTCAATCTGGCACTCACCGCTGCCCAGTTGGCAGAGGGTTTAAATTGAAAGCTAAGGTATAAAGAGAAATGTGTTCTCTCAGTTAACGGCACATTGCTCTTATTATCCGAAACCTAAAAACATTTGTCTGGTGAGGAAGGCAAGTAGGTGATGAATGTTGATTGTATTTATTGCCATCTGGGGTCATAGAGAGCTATTATTGCCGGATTGCCAGAACGGCCTTTTCAATGCAATATTTTAGAGCTGGAAAATGGTGGCATGCACCCCTAACAAAAAATTACTGCAGTGTTTTTTTTAAGAATACTGCAGTTTTTTTAAAAGAATACTGCAGTTTTAGTTAACTTCTGAAAAGTGCAGTTTGTTGGACACGAAAAAAAACGCGTAAAGTATTTTGCAGTATTATTGCAATACAACTGAAGTACTACAATACAACCAACTGCAGTACAACTACTGCAATACAAATTAAATACTGCTACAGTACAAATGCAGTACAACTATTGCAATAGAACTGAAGTGATACTACTACTATAATGCAGAACAACTACTGCCATGGTACTGAAGTACTACAACTACTATAATGCAGTAATGCTACTGCAAAACATGTTAAATAGTTTATTGCACTTAGGTACATAAGAATTAAAAAGTTTACACTTAGTTTTGTTATGTCTGACAGTATTGTAGATGTATTTCTGTAGTTAGTTAAACTTCTGAACAGTGCAATACAATATACTGTGGTAGTACTTCAGCAGTACAACTGAAATACTAAAACTTCATTTGGAAACCATTGTTCACCGAGCAGAAAAAAGTAGTAGCTGTACTGCAGTTCTATTGCGATAGCGGTATGTCAGTTGTACTGTAGTAGACCTTCAGTTGTTTTGCAGCAGTTGTACTTCATTATAGTAGGAGTATCATTTCACCACTATTGCAGTAGTTGTACTGCAGCTGTGCTGTAGTAGTAATTTTGTTGAATTACAGTAGTTGTAGTGCAGTGGGTTGTATTATACCTGATTACTGCAATGAGTGTCCAAACAAACTGCACTTTCAAAGGTTAAATAAAACTGCAGTGTTTTTTTTTTTTTTTTTTTTTGTAAGGGCACTCTCAGTTTATTTAATGTTACTTTGGTTGTACTGCAAATTTTACTGCTGTTGAACTTTATTGCGTTATAGTTGCTGTTTTACTGTTCAGTTCACTACAGTTATTTTTTATAATTCGTTTTTGCAAATAAACTAGAAACTACTAGAACTATAAACTAGACAAGAAAATTACTTGAATCCAAAAAACATCCCAGAAAAAATTATAAAATATTCTTGGAAGATGTTGAAGAAAAAACCCCTTGGAACAAAAGTGCAGTACAGTTCTTACCACACCATTGGCATATTCGACTACAGCAGCACAAATGCAGTAAAGACGAAGCTTAATTATTTTTACTGCAGTTATATTGCTGTTGAACTTTATTGTACTGTATTTGAACTGTGCTTATACCTCATTGTATTGCAATGTTGCAATTGTACTTAATTTTACTGCAGTTAAACTTCTATAAACTGCTGTTGTACTGCAGCTTTACTTCAGTTTACTGCAATTATTTTTTTTTGTAAGGGAAGTGTTGGAAATAAGCAGCACGTAGAATTATCCTGTGCTTTTAGGAGAGGGTGACACAGGTATGTTGCTCACTGGTTTACAGCGGCACATTTACGCTCATTATTCTTGTGTGAGACATAAACAGCAGCATGTTGCAGTCATTTAGCACAGGAGGCTAAACACATCAGGATAATGTGATACAGCTCTGAGCTAGGAACTATTCTAGGTATGAACATTTGTTGCTGGGGTTTTCATTTTTTTAAAGTCACTAGGAAAGATGGCAACATTTTAATGGATTATTTTAATATTTGTTATAGTCTTTAATCAGAATAACGTATACTTCCTTTCCAACAACTTATCTTCTATAATGGTTTGTTTACTGGCATGAGGGCAAGATCAACATGTCACTCGCATGAGGTTCCCCAATGATAAGCCACAACCATGTAAAAAATTCTGCATGGACGAAATCAGGGATGATTTACAAAAATATTTCTGTGCATATACATTAGATTAGTACCAAAGCCAAAACTGGCAATAATCTAACAAAAAAGATCACAGTCCAAAAATAAATTAATAATTATTTGTAATTTTTATTTGTATAGTGCGTTTTACAATAATTATTGTTTCAAAGCAGGTTTACAAAAGGTGCACATTACTGCATAACAATCAAAATCAGAAGAGTTAAGTTTATTAGTTACTATAAATGTATTAGTTACTAATAACTTTAATTACTAATAATGTTATCAGTTAAAGTTATTATATAAACAGGCTTAACTTGCGGTAACAGAGTATATAAGTGATGTCTATGTGTAGATGTTTGTGTATTAAGTGTATGTGTTGTCCTCGGATTGTTGGCATGATCTCTTCACAGATCTTGGATCTGATCAAGTGGCTCTGCACAATCTCTAGAAGCCTCAGCATGGGATGTAAAATATAAAAAAAGCAAAGAAAATAATCAGTAAAGCTGCTATTATTAGATATTACGGTCAATGTGAAATGGAAGTGCTGCAAATGAAAAGACATGTTATATAAACAAACATATAAATCATTAAATTAATATTAGTATATAGTATTAAGTATTTCTAACAAAGTGGCTGGTGTATTAAGACAAGAAGAATGTGTCCTGCAGGTGGTTTGTAAAGCCTACTCACCTGCAAAGAGCACACTTACATATCCTACTGTTATTTGATGCACTTGTAACCCAGATTACTGAAGAGTTATATTTGTACATTTATAAAATAATATAAATGATCAGGGGATAAAACAACATATAATTGTGGATTCATTGTTCTAAAATGTTCTTAATAAGAAATAAATTGTTTAAAAATAATAATGTGAAATATTCACATGTTATTGGTTTAGCCAATCAGTGATGTGTGGGAGGGATTTGCGCTTGCTGACGCAGTGGGAAGAGATCGCCAGACTGTGGAGGAGGAGAGAGTGAGATCGCTAGATTTGATGATTTAAACTGTGAAATTAGATTATAACTTTGAAACTAGTTTGAGAAACTTACAAAAAGCTTTCATAGAGAAGTATTTGAAGAGGATTCAGTCGTTAAATTGTTCCTGTGATGATCGATGGGAAAATTGCATCATTGTGTTGTTGAGGAGTGAATATATGGACATGGTGAGTTTAATTACTTTGTAAACACTCTGAATTTAATGTTAAATGACAAACAAACACAGTTTGTAGAGAAACAAGAGTTTATTTTGCTGTTTTGTGATATATACTGTATTTAGTTGTCTCCACGTGTTATTATTTCCCTTCACGTGTATGTTCACATGCATATCGCCTTGTATACATGCCTAAAAAAAAGAGATACAGGTTAATTGTAATGATTATAATGTTATTTGCTTGTATGTGGAAATATTTACCTGATATAATGATATCATTGACTAAATGTAGTCATGCTTTTGGCCTTTTGTACAGGTCAGGTTTTTTTCTTTGGTGTTTTTGATTGAAGACTGATTTACATTGATGGCGGGCCAACCTATACGGACACTAGAAAAGGAAATTGGAAATTCACCCTACTGAACCAGGAGAGTACTTTAATACTTTTTATTTTTCCAGCTCAAGGTAAAAGACTGTTTTTTTTCCCGTTTCTGGATAGAGACTGTTCGTATTTTTCCCTGAGAACTGATTAAGAAAAAAGACTAATACCAGCGCAAGGACACTTGGAAATCAAACTATTTTCCTTTTGAAGTGAAATGAGAAATACTGAGTTTGTTGATTCTGAACAAGTGGTTTTCTTTACATTTTCAATGTAATTTCAATTGAACTTTATTTTGTTTTATTGTGTTTTAATTGTTTTATTGTATTTTGTTAATTTTATTTTGGGGAAAGATCTGCAGAAAAATATATCTATAAACATTTCAAATACTTACCTATATAGTGGTTTCTGTCATTTTTCAGCAAATGCTCATTACCTCCAGTAGTCGAATCCTAGGCTTCTGATGTCCAGATTGATTTGATAGTGTAACCTGTTACATAAAATTGGCGAGCCAGCCAGGAGGTGGTGCTGTATTGCTGAGAACTGACAGGTGATTAAAATACTATTGGTGTTTGGAATAATCATTTCTCTGTTAAAATGGATGTAGTTATGCAAGAAGGTATCAAAATCCCAAATGCTATTATAATTAGTGGGGAAACTGAGACAGCAGATGATGAAGAATTTCTGAAAATCTTGCAAAAACACGGTTCTATTGTTAGATCGGTTAAAATTCAAGACCCTGAATCTGAGTTTAATCAGGATGTGATTATTGAATTTGACAGTGGCAGTGCTTTACAGTCTTTAGAGCCCCTGTTGCCGTATACTTACCAGCTGACTAGTGATCCAAATATCACTTACTTAGTGAGATCCTTATCCAGTGTGTACACTCAACAGTTAGGGGGTAGTGCTACCAAATCATACCTAAAGGGATTGAAAGAAATCGCAAAACTTAGTGGGGCAAATTTTGAAGCAATGTTGAGTGAAATGCTAACAGAAATGAGTGCTGTAGTTCTTCCTGCAAGCTCTGTATCTGAAGCTCCTGACAAACCCCCTATTACACCATCTGGTCAAGAGCCAATTAGTGGCAAAACATCTCCAGTTATGGCTCAGCCTAGCAACGAAGGAAACCAGGAAATGCATCAAACTGCTGCTCATGTCGCTGATTCTTCAGTTCTTACTTCACCCACAATACTTAACCCACCAGAAGTACAGAGGTTGGTTGTTGAACATGTGGTGAGGAGTGGAGAAGGTGTTGCCCAGGCACACATACCCATGCGACTCAGACTGTTTTCTGGTAGGAAACCTCGCCCTGCTAATGAGACAGATTATGACACATGGCGTTCTAGTGTCGATCTCGTTTTGAAGGATCCTGCAATATCTGATCTTCATGGTTCAAGAAAGATTCTAGATAGCCTTTTGCCCCCAGCTGCTGATGTCATTAAACAACTGAGCGCTGACGCTGCTCCATCAGCTTACCTGCAGTTGCTAGATTCTGCCTTTGGTACAGTCGAAGATGGTGATGAACTTTTCGCTAAATTCATGAATACCTTGCAGGATGCAGGAGAAAAACCTTCGGCCTACCTGTATAGGCTTCAGGCAGCCTTGAACATAGCCATCAAGCGTGGTGGTGTGTTGGCCAGTGAAGCAGACCGACACCTTTTGAAACAATTTTGTCGGGGCTGCTGGGATGATGGTTTAATAGCTGACCTGCGATTGGCACAAAAACGAGATGATCCTCCTACTTTTGCGCAGCTATTATTGATGTTACGAACCGAGGAAGATAAACATACTGCAAAAACCATTCGTATGAAGCAACATCTAGGTAGTTCCAAGCAGCGTGCACTGATGAACACCCAAAGGATCTGGGTATGCGATGAACCTAAGCAAAGTACAGATTGCAATGTGTTGTCATTAGCAACAGAAGCTAAAGAGCTTAAAAAACAGATAGCCACTCTACAGAGCCAATTAGCTAAACTCGCTACTAAATCTGAGGCCCCAAAGAAACTGGCATCACAAACCGTAGATCGGAAAGCTTCTTTCAAAGACAAAAAATCAACCAAGCCAAGTGTTGAATCTACAATGCCTATGCATTATAAACAAACTGACAAACCCAGGCCATGGTACTGTTTTCAATGTGGGGAAGATGGCCACATTGCCTCCTCCTGTGATTCAGAGCCCAACCCAGCACTTGTGGCTGAAAAGCGTAAACTTCTGAGGGAGAAACAGTCCCAGTGGGAATCTCAAAACAATATGGCAAAGGCTGCTTTAAACCAGAGCCAGTTCCTGTTGCGGGACAGCCAGGGACTGAAACATTAAAGTGTCCCCCTAAAACTAAAGCTTCTATGCAAAGCCATAGTTCGAAAATAAAAGATGGCAAATTACCCAGAGGGTTGGTTGGTGAAAGATGCATCGCACAAGTCACTATTTTAGGGCAGAAATGTAACTGTTTGATCGACACAGGCTCCCAAGTTACAACTATTCCCTTATCCTTTTATGACCAACACCTTTCAGAAACCCCCATCAATTCCGTTTCTGATTTGTTGGAAGTTGAAGGTGCGAATGGCCTTTCTGTGCCCTACATTGGGTACATAGAACTGAATATAACTTTTCCTGCAGAGTTTATTGGGACAAGTGTTGAATTACCTACTGTCGCTTTGGTGGTTCCAGAGCCAGAGTCTTGCACCATGCCTTTAATTATTATAGGGACAAATACTTTGGACACCCTTTATGATGAACACTTGAAAACGAGTTCTATGACCTTCCAGCCTTCCTTGTTTGGCTACAGAACTGTCCTGAATACCATCAGATTGCGGCACAAACATAATGCTGGTGCTCTTGGTCAAATAAGGTTGAGAAGTAAGGTACCAGAAGTCATGGCGGCTGGCCAAACTGTCGTTTTAGAGGGCATTGCCCATATGCATGGCTTTCCAACTGATAAATGGATTGTTGTGGAACACCCCTCCATATCTTTCTTACCCGGTGGAATTGTGGTGAAAAATTGCTTACTTACTCTCCCTTCTAGACGATATAGCCATCTTCCTGTGGTTCTCACAAATGAGACTGATCACAATATCACTATCCCACAGAGGTGTGTCATTGCAGAGATCCATGCTTTGGAGTCAGTGCTTTCTTCTGACAACGCTATACCTAAACAGGAATTCCAAAGTGATGAGCCCAAAGTAATCAAAGAAGAAGAGTTCATTTTAAATTTTGGTGATTCTCCATTATCACAGGAATGGAAGGATCGAATCACAAAGAAACTTCGTGAGATGCCAGAAGTCTTTGCTCAACATGATCTGGATTTTGGACATACACAAAAAATGAAACATTGCATCAAATTACATGATGAATCCCCGTTCAAACACCGCGCTAGACCAATTCATCCACGTGATATTGGGGCTGTAAGAAAACACCTTCAGGAACTTCTTTTAAGTGGAGTCATACGCGAGTCAGAATCCCCTTTTTCTTCGCCAATTGTTGTAGTCAGAAAGAAAAATGGAGATGTACGACTCTGCATCGATTATCGGAAGTTAAATCTTCAAACAATCAAGGACGCATATGCTTTGCCGAACCTTGATGAGACATTTTCAGCTTTAAATGGATCCAAGTGGTTCACTGTACTAGACTTAAAATCTGGCTACTATCAGATTGAAGTTGCAGAGGAAGACAAACCGAAAACGGCCTTTGTGTGTCCCCTGGGGTTTTGGGAATTTAATCGTATGCCCCAGGGGGTAACCAATGCCCCAAGCACTTTCCAAAGGCTAATGGAAAAGTGTATGGGTGACATTAACCTGAAAGAAGTGCTAGTGTTTTTGGATGATTTGATTGTCTTTTCTGCATCCCTTGAGGAACACGAGAGACGTTTGCTACAAGTTCTTGCTCGTCTGAAGGAGTATGGGCTAAAACTTTCACCAGAAAAGTGCCGTTTTTTCCAGACCTCTGTTAGATACTTGGGTCATGTAGTATCCGAGTAAGGCGTGGCAACAGACCCTGAAAAGATTGAGGCTATAAAGACCTGGCCTTGTCCAAGGAACCTTAAGGAGTTAAGGTCATTTTTAGGCTTTTCAGGCTACTACCGTAGGTTTATTAAAGACTACTCACAAATAGCAAAGCCCTTAAATGAACTGACTTCTGGTTATCCACCCTCGAGGAAGAGTTGTAAGAAAGCTGAAAAGGAATATCAATACCATGATCCAAAAGAGCCTTTTGGCGGACGTTGGACAGCTACTTGCCAGAGAGCATTTGAAATCCTAATTGAAAAGCTTTCTACTGCTCCCGTCTTAGGATTTGCGGACCCCAAACTTCCTTATGTTGTTCACACCGATGCTAGCACCACAGGATTGGGAGCTGCATTATATCAAGAGCAAAATGGGAAGCAACGTGTTATTGCATTTGCTAGTAGAGGCTTGTCGTATAGCGAGGCCCGATACCCGGCCCATAAACTCGAGTTCCTTGCCCTTAAATGGGCTGTAACTGAGAAATTTCATGATTATCTTTATGGCGGCACATTTACTGTCATAACAGATAGCAATCCATTGACATACCTTCTGACGACAGCTAAATTGGATGCTACCAGCTACCGGTGGCTTGCTGCACTTTCAACATTCTCATTTCGGCTGCAGTACCGGGCTGGTAAACAAAATGTTGATGCAGACAGTTTGTCTAGGCGACCACATGAATCATTGCCAGAAGACCAGTTATCGGTAAAGGAGTTTGAAAGGATCAATAAGTTCGTGGAGTATCATACCATCGATACTGAGAATCCACAGAATACGGATAGAGATATAATCCGAGCTATTTGTGAGAAGCATTCTGTCCAACAAAGTGATGATTCTGGTGTCACTCTAGTTGAGTCTTTGGCAATCCATCCTGATGCTGTGCCGGAATGTTTCGAACAAGAGGATAGTCTAAACGGATTAGCTGCTTTACCTCTCCTTATGAAGGAAGACTTGGCTGAACGGCAGAGATGTGATCCTGTCATCCGTGAAGTAGTGATGTGCATGGAATCTGGTGAAAAACCTCTGCCTGCATTACGACTAGAATATCCAGATCTTCCATTTTACTTACGAGAATGAGACCGTCTTGAGTTGATAGATGGAGTTCTGTACAGACGACGACGAGAAGGAGACTCAGTCAATTTCCAACTGGTTTTGCCAGAGGATCTTAGAAGTTTTGCTTTGAACAGTCTACATGATCAAATGGGTCATATGGGAACAGAAAGGACGCTAGATTTGGTCCGTTCTAGGTTCTATTGGCCAAGGATGGGAACTGAAGTGGAGCACAAAATTAAGACTTGTAGTCGTTGCGTACGTAGGAAATCCTTGCCGCAGAAAAGTGCACCCTTAGTAAACATTCAAGCCACAAGACCCTTACAACTTGTTTGCATGGATTTTCTTTCTCTTGAACCAGATAAGAGCAATACTCGTGATATCTTGGTTATTACCGATTTCTTTACGAAGTATGCAGTGGCCATACCAACGCCGAATCAGAAAGCAAGAACTGTTGCAAAGTGCCTATGGGATCAGTTCATTGTGCATTATGGTTTCCCTGAGCGGTTACATAGTGACCAAGGACCAGATTTCGAATCTCATACCATCAAGGAACTTTGTGCAATTGCCGGAATCCAAAAGATTAGAACAACACCATATCATCCTCGAGGAAATCCTGTGGAACGGTTTAACCGGACTTTGTTAAATATGCTCGGAACGTTGGAAGAAAAGGACAAAAGTCATTGGAAGGATTTTGTCAAACCCTTGGTACATGCATATAATTGTACTAAACACGAGTCTACAGGATTTTCTCCATATGAGTTGATGTTTGGCCGTCAACCACGGTTGCCGCTTGATCTTGCTTTTGGATTGCCATGTAAAGACTGTAAACAAGTGTCTCATTCACAATATGTTCAAAGTCTTAAATCTCATCTAAAGGAAAGTTATGAGGTTGCTTCACAAAATGCACGGAGGATTGCTGAAAAGAACAAAATCCGGTATGATAAACATGTAACTAATTCTTCTTTGGAAGTCGGAGATCGTGTTCTAGTAAGGAATGTACGCATCCGTGGAAAGCATAAGCTAGCTGACCGATGGGAATCTGAAATCTATGTTGTTGTGAAACAAGCTGCTAACTTACCAGTTTACACTGTCCGGCCAGAAACAAAAGATGGTCCGCTTCGTACTCTTCATAGAGATCTTTTGCTTCCCTGTGGATTCTTACCTGCTTCCAGGATCCCAGATCCAGTTGTGAGTAAACCTAATGTAAGACATAATACTCAGAAGAATCCTGATTCACAGATCCTTGACAGTTCAGTTTCTGTTCCTGAGATGGATAATGACATTCCTGAAATGATGTGTGGAGCTTATCCAATTGATGAGACAAGATTTACTACGGTTCACCAAGTGCTTAGGCCAAATGTCTCTGATGAGGTCCCTCATAACCCTGGGGTTATTCATTCACGCTCAGCGGACAAAGTAGCTCAGAGTGATCAAAGTAGTGACTTACCTGCGGATGTTCCAGAGCAAGCTCCACCTACTGAAAATATAAGAGAACACTTACCTGTTGGTGTTCCAACAGACTCCTTACCTGATGTCTCGGAGATCACTGAGTCAAGTCCAATTCCTAATGCAAAGTCAGTTAATGATCAAGAAAATTCTCAAGAGGAATGTAGTGGACAGACCCAGACCTCTGACGAGGAGGGGAATGATCTTTTAGAAGACCTTCCCAGACGATCAACTAGACAAAGAAAGGGTCCTAAAATGCTTACCTATCCACAGCTTGGAAACCCTTTAATGCACGTAGTGCATTCCTTTTTCCAAGGCTTAAACACTGTTTTGCTTAATGCATTGGATAATAGTGAAAGTCTGAATGATTTACCTGGGAAATCCTCCATACAGGATGTATAATATGTTAAGTTATTCTAAACTGTCACGAGACGTGTACAGTTAAGTGGGGGAGGATGTAACCCAGATTACTGAAGAGTTATATTTGTACATTTATAAAATAATATAAATGATCAGGGGATAAAACAACATATAATTGTGGATTCATTGTTCTAAAATGTTCTTAATAAGAAATAAATTGTTTAAAAATAATAATGTGAAATATTCACATGTTATTGGTTTAGCCAATCAGTGATGTGTGGGAGGGATTTGCGCTTGCTGACGCAGTGGGAAGAGATCGCCAGACTGTGGAGGAGGAGAGAGTGAGATCGCTAGATTTGATGATTTAAACTGTGAAATTAGATTATAACTTTGAAACTAGTTTGAGAAACTTACAAAAAGCTTTCATAGAGAAGTATTTGAAGAGGATTCAGTCGTTAAATTGTTCCTGTGATGATCGATGGGAAAATTGCATCATTGTGTTGTTGAGGAGTGAATATATGGACATGGTGAGTTTAATTACTTTGTAAACACTCTGAATTTAATGTTAAATGACAAACAAACACAGTTTGTAGAGAAACAAGAGTTTATTTTGCTGTTTTGTGATATATACTGTATTTAGTTGTCTCCACGTGTTATTATTTCCCTTCACGTGTATGTTCACATGCATATCGCCTTGTATACATGCCTAAAAAAAAGAGATACAGGTTAATTGTAATGATTATAATGTTATTTGCTTGTATGTGGAAATATTTACCTGATATAATGATATCATTGACTAAATGTAGTCATGCTTTTGGCCTTTTGTACAGGTCAGGTTTTTTTCTTTGGTGTTTTTGATTGAAGACTGATTTACATTGATGGCGGGCCAACCTATACGGACACTAGAAAAGGAAATTGGAAATTCACCCTACTGAACCAGGAGAGTACTTTAATACTTTTTATTTTTCCAGCTCAAGGTAAAAGACTGTTTTTTTTCCCGTTTCTGGATAGAGACTGTTCGTATTTTTCCCTGAGAACTGATTAAGAAAAAAGACTAATACCAGCGCAAGGACACTTGGAAATCAAACTATTTTCCTTTTGAAGTGAAATGAGAAATACTGAGTTTGTTGATTCTGAACAAGTGGTTTTCTTTACATTTTCAATGTAATTTCAATTGAACTTTATTTTGTTTTATTGTGTTTTAATTGTTTTATTGTATTTTGTTAATTTTATTTTGGGGAAAGATCTGCAGAAAAATATATCTATAAACATTTCAAATACTTACCTATATAGTGGTTTCTGTCATTTTTCAGCAAATGCTCATTACCTCCAGTAGTCGAATCCTAGGCTTCTGATGTCCAGATTGATTTGATAGTGTAACCTGTTACACACTGTGTATACTATACTAGAAAGATAAGTCTTTAATCTAGTTTTAAACTGAGAGAGTGTGACATTAGACAAAAGAAATGTCTGAGTCAGGGTAGAATGTGTTCCCACATCTGGACATTATGTGTGTCTCAGACATTAGCAGTAAGGCTATTCCATACTTTGGGAGTCATATATGAGAAGGGTCAACCTTCTTGAGTAGACTTTGCTATTCTGGTTACTATCAGAAGCCCTGAGTTTTGTTATCTTAAAGAGTAGGTTGGATCGTAGCGAGACAGGAGGTTAGTTAGATAAACAGGAGCTAGACTATTTAAAGCTTTAAAGGCAAGAAGCTTTATTTTATAATCAAAACAGAACTTAACAGACAGCCAGTTTAAGTTAAAACTGAGGTAATATGATCATGTTTTTTGTGACCTGGTAAGAACTCTGGCAGCTGCATTTTGCACTAACTGAAGTCTATTAATAGATGATTCCAGGCAACCAATTAACATAGCATTACAGTAATCTAATCAAGTGGTCATAAAAGCATGAACTAGCTTTTTTGCATCATTTGGACAGAACAATATCTTAAGTAAGATGAATCGGCTTGAATGATTTGGAACACTGAGTAATGGGCAGTGAAGTACCTGAGGGTGAATTAAGTGAAACATAAGATTAACTTTGACCAGTCATTTGAATTAGTGAATCATTTACTGATCACTCTGACTAGACCAATCTGGAGTGTGTTTTCTAATATCAGCTGTTACTGCAAGATCTGTTATCACCAACAGGTCCTAACGGGACTTGCAACCATAGGTTTTAAATAATGGTATGCTTCTTAGAAACAAAGGTCAGATCAGTTAAATTCACTGACAAATTGTTCACTTTGAGCAATAAAATGTGTGAAAAAATTGCACTTAATGAAAACTTGCATGTACTTGTATCAAGAGTGACAGGCATGTTGGTGCATTGATTATGGTTGATGTACTGGTTCATTGTAGTTAAGAAAGAGATTAGCCAAATGCAAAGCTCATGATCCGTCAATCTACATTCCTACTTTTACTTACAGTATGGTCATGAGCTTTGGGTGGGTGGGTGCACCCTTAGAGATGGGTGGGTGGGTGCACCCTTAGAGATAGTATGAGATGGGTGCACTCTTAGAGATAGGATGAGATAGCTTGAGGAGTTTTTTTATCTGTTAGTAACTAAGAGTAGAGTTGCTGCTCCTCCACATAAAGAAAAGCCAGTTGAGGTGGCTTGGACATCTGCTTCAGATCCCTCCTGGTTGCCAACCAAGGGAGGTCTTCTGGGCTTGTGAAGACAAAGGACACGCTGGAGGGACTATGTCTCTCTGCTTTGCTGGGAATACCACCACCAAGATTTGGAGGAAGTGGCTGGGGAGAGGGAAGTCTGGGGTTCTCTCCTAAGACTGTTGCCACTGCAACCCGGCCCTGGATAAGTAGTAGCTGATGATTGATTGAATGAATGTATGCATGCACTCATGTAGTCTAAAGTGTTTAAAGTTTAAAATATAATTGTCACTATATGGAAGATGACAAAACAAGTACGCTAACTTTTCCCATGCTTATATTACTCTTGAGTGTCTATAGAGAAGTACTGCATACATCTGTTCTCCAAAAAGTGTCACATTTTTTAAATAATTGTAAGACAAAGTTAGTTTCCCAATTCTCTCTAGAAGAAAACAAGGGGCTGGAGCCATGAAGAAACAAGGGAACAACTTTGTAACCGTAGCCCTTTGACTAATATTGCAGTGTGATCACTCTAGGTTAGTTTCAGGAGCATACAATGATGCCAGTGTGGTTAGAGCATTCAAAACATTACTGATAAGCTGCTAATCTCAAATCAGCTCATGCAACGGCTAGAGTATTTTTAATGAAATAAAGGTTAAGTTGCAGACATTTTAGAATAACTAGCTTGTTTACTCTATATTCTTTTCCCAGTTTAACAACCACTTACTTTTGTGTGATTTAGCAGACGTTGATAATTGACTCTGCAGTGAATGGGGCTGCCTCATGTCAAAAAACAAATGCATTGCTATGGAAATATTAAAGTTCTGAATAAATCCCAAAGGGGGGTCAGCTGCTGTATTTAAAACTTACATATGAATAGGGTTAAATTGGCTATGGCAAAACAAGATCAGCTTTAGCCACTAGACACCATGGGCCACTCGATTCACAACACTGACATCAGCAAACCGCTCACCCACATGATGCCAAAGATGCTGTCTGCCATCTGCCCTGTATAGTGAAAACCAAGATTAATCTATTGAGAGTTCCCCTCTCTAAAGTGCCAGAAACCATCACATTTTAGTAGTTGTGTCGGTTACAACGAGCCAGATGAGGACAATGAGCATGCAGATGAGATACCTTGAGTCATTTCTGACCGTTTGTGCAGAAATCCGTGGTTATGTAAACTGACTGTTGCAGCAGCTCTTCAGGTGATGCTTGATGTTGGGTCCTGGGCTAGTGTGGTTACACATGGTCTGTGGTAGAGAGGCCGGTTAGATGTCATGCCAAATTCTCTGAAATGCATTTATAGACGTATGGTCAAGAAATAATATTCAATTCACAGGCAAAATCCCTGGTGGTCATTTCTGCAGTCAGCTTCCAAACTGCATGCTTCAAAAACTTGGGACATCTTGGCATTCTACTGTGTGAAAACTGCACATTTTAAAATGGCCTTTGATTGTAACCAGCCTAAGGCACACCTGAGCAATAATTAGGCTGTCTAATCAGCATCTTGATATGCCACACATTTGAGGTGGATGGTTTATCTCAGCAAAGGAGAAGTGCTCACTAACTCATATTTAAAAAATGTGTGAACAATATTTTGAGACCTTTTGTGAATGTAGAACAAGTAGTATATGTTTGAGTATAGCTCATGAAAAATTAGAGCAAAAACAGAAATTGCATTGAGTGTGTATATATGCAACATATATATATCAAAATGTTGCAAAAACTTTTTTATATATGAATGTGATAGGATATATGGGCCTTGAACATTGTGAGGACCAAGCAACATCTATAGGTTTTCCTTTGAGAACCGGGCCAAAAAAATTAAGTGCAGGCATGTTTATAATATTTAATTATCTACAAATACAAAATTATATACACTTTAAAGTGCAGTTTTGACAAGGTTACTATCTTTCCTTAGTATAATGGAGTTTAGCATGTGATGGGATCCTTCTTTAATAGTACTAAAATACTCTTTAATGTAACATTTTAGTAGTAGACTGGTTTACAAAGACTCCACAACACCTCATAAAGCTGTATATCAGAGGAATGACACTTGAAAGGGTTTGGTCTTTATTGCCTTGGCTTTAGCTTGAAAAAGGATTTATAACAGACAATTGATTCATGATTTAGCTGCATCCTCAAGCATTACTGCAAATCTTGTTCCTTCAGCTATATCTCAGCTTTAAAAAAAAAACATCCTTTCTCTGTCTTCGCACTTTTCACAAGGTGGGTCTACCTGCCACGAATGCCAAATAAGTCTGCGATATCTCAGAACCCCAGAGACAAATGCCATAGGAATCCGACAGGAGCAGTGCTGAGGAGCGAGTAGTACAGGCCCTCAGCACAGTATGGCAAGGACCTCTTTGAAGACTTTTAATAGGTCTGCTTTGTGCGCTAGCTGCCAGTATCTGTCACAGAGTCCAGATGTGGGAACACATTCTACCCTGAATCAGACATTTCTTTTTTGTAGATTTCAGCACACATGCTAGTTTGCAATCTTAATTTTATAATCTATAAACAAAGAAAATTCTTCAATACCCATACATAAAAGCCACATAAACACTTTTCTAACCACAATGTATGTTTAGAATTAATTAGGTTAAATAAGTAAATATTTCAGCCATGATTTTAACCAGGAAAATACTTTTTTGTACACAAAAATTAGGTTTATTAACGAACTACCTAATTGTTTAACTAAATAATTGTTTAGCGATTTGTTGTGTCATAATTTTTTCTAAAATATAAAAAATATATTTTAATGTTTTGCTTATTTTTTTTTTATTTTTGTTCATTTTTAATATGTTATATAATTAACAAAAAATAAAATAAATAAGTAGGCATCCAAGAAGCATCTGAAACAGATGCCCAAGCCACCTCAGCTGACTTCTCTTGATTTGGAGGAGCAGCGGGCTCCTCTCGTGTGACAAAGCTCCTTACCCTATCCATAAGGGTGGGCCCTGCCACTCTGCGAAGAAAACTCATTTTGGCCACTTGTATCTGAGATCTTGTCCTCATGACCGTAGGTGAGAGTAGGAATGTAGACTGACCGGTAAATCAAGAGCTTTGCCTTTCGTCTCAGCTCCTTCTTTACCACAACAGACTGCTACATCCTCCGCATTACTGCTGCCGCAGCACCAATCAGCCTGCACATTTATATATATATATATATATATATATATACACATACAGTTGAAGTCTGAATTATTAGTCCTGTTTATTTTTTTTCCCCAAATTTCTGTTGAGCAGAGAGAATTTTTTTTCAACACATTTTTAAACATAATAGTTTTAATAACTAATTTCTAATAATCTATCTTTGTTATGGTGACAGTAAATAATAATTGACTAGATATTTTTCAAGACGCTTCTATACAGCTCAAAGTGACATTTAAATACTTAACTAGGCTAATTAGGTAAACTAAGGAGGTTAGGGTAATTAGGCAAGTTATTGTATAATGATGGTTTGATCTGTAGACTATTGAAAAAAAATAAAGCTTAAAGGGGCTAATATTTTATTATATTAAAATTATCAAGCTTAATTTTTAGATATATCGTATTCTGAGCTTTTCTTTAGATGTTTGTAATGTTCAACACATGAATTAAATATCTTTCTTACACTTAACCATGCAATATTCAGCATTTTTTTCCTGGCCAAATGTCTAGTTTTATA